AGACAGACAGACAGACAGACAGACAGACACACACACACACACACACAGAGAGACACACACAGAGACACACACAGAGACACACACAGAGACACACACACACAGACACACACAGACACATTAAATATGCACTAATTTATATAGACACTGGCAGAGGCGCGGGAAGATGTTTTCGGTTGGGGGTGCTGTGTGTGTCCGTACTGGGGGGATTTTTTATATTTTTTTTTAATCTGAAATTTGCTTTTGCACCATTATCTGCTTGTATTAAAGTTAATCTTGTTCGCATTCTGTATAGTTCATGTCTGATACCACGCGCCAGCGTCACGTGTTCATGAGGATTAAGCTAATCATCCCATATAGAAAACATCACAAGTAAAATTAATCATGTTTATAAAGATAAACATGGGTTTATTATAGCCCACTTACAAATAAATTATTAAATGCTAAAACTGAATAAATTTAAATGAACAAACTTGGCGTTGCATTTGCAACCATGTGAAAACAAGGGGTGCTGCAGCCCCCTCAGCACCCCTACTTCCCGCGTCCCTGGACACTGGATAAACACAGGTTCATAGTTCTGGTTTGATTTTGTCGTCACATTAGAGTTAAAGGTTTTTCCAGAGGGGATTTTGGATTTCTCGTTTTATCATAAGTCAGAAAATACTGTCAACAGACGGAAAACAAACTGATTCTCACAGTGTTTTTAGGAGTGAAATGCTGTATAAATCAGTGTGAATGAAATACGAACAAACCTTCAGAATATAGAGAGGAATAAATAACTGTTTGGTGTTTGTAAGTGCTGCTGAAGTGGAGGAAAAACCTCAGTTAAAATAACAACACGATTACAGTCATTTATGAAGTTGAGTTTCGCCCCATTTCGTCTCTGGCATTTGTTAGATACTACAGTAATGATTTGTTTATCAGTCACACCAGCATAATTTAACCAGAATAAACCAAGAGATCTGATCTGTTCTGGTGAAACTCACCAGCGTCCTCTAGTGTTCAGTTACAGGAACTACTCTCCTTTAGTTTACTGGGAATATGCTGATTACAATTTAACTAAAGACGCAATTCTGCATAAAAGCCAGTTTATAAAGTTTTAAATATGGATTTTTTTTTTTTTTTTACACAAATGCATTGATTCGCTTCAGGAGGCCTTTATTAATTTATTAGCCGTGTGGAGCACTTTTTATGATGGATGGATGCCCTTTATTTTTGCTTCAAAATCTCAACACCCATTCACTGCCATTATAAAGCTTGGAAGAGCCAGGACATTTTTAAATATAACTCCGATTGGATTCGTCTGAAAGAAGAAAGTCATACACACCTAGGATGGCATGAGGGCGAGTAAATCATGGGGTAACTTTCATTTTTGGGTGAACTGTCTCTTTAAATAGACTCGTTGATTGCAAAACATGCATTTAACTGAGCTGTTGATAAATATCAGCCGCCGCTCACCTTTGAACCAGGCTCCGGGTTTGAAGAGTGCTTTCTTCAGCGCGCTGTACAGGTGAAAGTTCAGCCGCTTGAACTCGGCGATGTCGTCTCGGATTCTGGGCAGCAGCACCAGATTGTAGAAGCGCTGAGCCATTCGCTCCTTCAGATTAGACGAGAAGATCCTGCACGAACACCAACAACGCAAGTGAGCGAAAACACAAAGCGGCAGCCACACATGCGCAGCGGTCTGTGCACGTGACCTCTGACCTGGTGGCCTGGTACATGGCGGCGGCCGTCCACGTCTCCGGCTCAGTGAGGTACAGCACCTGCTCCCAGTTGGAGAGAGCCGGGATGATCTTGAAGGCTTTGGGAAGTTTCCCGCTGCGGTATTTCGACAGGACCTGCGGAGGGAGAGTGTTAGCAACAGCGGAGGACGACTCGCACGCTAAAGCGCTCATATTAGCGCTCGTACCTTGCTGACGCCTCTGTACACCTCCAGCACCCGCGGGTCCAGCTGAGGAGCGGCGCGTCCCGACGCCTCGGACATCACGGTGCCCACCTCCGTCTGCTTCTCCGTGATCTTCTCCATGATGATGTCGGCTAGCGTGCGTCTGCGGCGACACAAGCGTTTAGCTCACACAGCGCGGCGCTCGTAAACGCTCCGTGTGCGTGTCTGCTCACCTGAGCGGCGGGTTCTTGTTCATGAACATCTCGATGGCCTTCTCGTCCTCAGGATCCACGTCCACCTCTCCACCCGTCTCCTCCGCAGCATCATCGCCCAGCGCCGGCCACTCGTCATCAGAGTCTCCGTCCTGTGCACTCGGACCTGAGACAACCACGAGTTCAGTCGCTTTCATACATAGCAGTCTATATATTCTGATCACTGCGCATATATAGTTCATCTGTCTGTGTGTGTATTATAAATATCTATCATAAATATCTGTCTGTCTATAGACTAGGCTATATAGATATACTTTGTAAACATCTGTCGGTCTCTATGTCTATATATCATAAATATCTGTCTGTCTGTGTCTATATATCATAAATATCTGTCTGTCCGTGTCTATATATCATAAATATCTGTCTGTCCGTGTCTATATATCATAAATATCTGTCTGTCCGTGTCTATATATCATAAATATCTGTCTGTCCGTGTCTATATATCATAAATATCTGTCTGTCCGTGTCTATATATCATAAATATCTGTCTGTCCGTGTCTATATATCATAAATATCTGTCTGTCCGTGTCTATATATCATAAATATCTGTCTGTCCGTGTCTATATAAAAATCTGTCTATATATATATATATATATATATATATATATATATATATAATAAACATCTCTCTGTCTTTGTCTATCTATAGACAAATATCAATTGTAAATATCTGTCTGTATACCATAAATATCGGTCTGCCTATATATCATAAACATCTGCCTGTCTTTATCTATCTATAGACTACATAGACTCAAATATCCTTTGTACATATCTGTCTGTATACCATAAATAGCTGTCTATATCATAAATATCTGTCTGTCTGTGTCTATATATTATGAACATCTGTCTGTTTGTCTATATATCATAAAAATCTGTCTATGTCATAAAAATCTATCTATATAACAAACATCTGTCTGTTTGTCTGTCAACATATATGTCTATATATCATAAACATCTGTCTGTCTTTGTCTATCTATCTAGACTATATAGACAAATACTGTAAATAGTCTGACAAATATACAGCTGAGTCCTTAGCCATCTTCAATAAATGACTAAAAACACATCTGTTCCACCTTTATTTGACCCTCTAACTCTAGCACTTTCTATTCTATTTTAATTATACTTTATATTTATCTTCTTTTTTTTATAAAAAACAAACAAACAAACACTAGCTTTCTATTTTTTCTACTCTATCTACTTGTTTTTCTTTGTGTGTGTGTTTATGTGTGTGTGTGTATAATATATATATATATATATACACCTTGCTACGTGTACTGTGTTAGGCTAACCGAGACTTGTCATTTGCACTTATATATTGTTGCTCTTTTGTTAGTTTTGATTGTTTCTATTGTCCTCATTTGTAAGTCGCTTTGGATAAAAGCGTCTGCTAAATGACTAAATGTAAATGTAAATATCTTTTGTAAATATCTGTCTGTATACCATAAATATCTATCCGTCTGTCTTTATATCATAAACATCTGTCTGTCTACACATCAAACATTTGTCTGTCTGTGTCTATATATTATAAACATCTGTCTGTTTGTTTGTATACCATAAATATCTGTTTGTATGTCTATATATATATTAGACTTGTGCCGGTATTCGGTAAAGCGATGTATCACGGTAATGAATATGCACGATATTGTTATCGTGACACTTTTAACTTTATACATTTTTCTGTATTGCTTTATTGCATTTAAATGTTTAGTTATTTTTGTTATAAGAAAAAAGTTATTAAACCTGTTATACTGTATTATGACAGCACTTTTTTTTAATCTAAATTTCAATACCGTGATAATACCGTATACCGTGATAAACGCATGAGCAATTAATCACAACATGAAAATTTGATACCGGCATATCCCTAATATATATATATATATATATATATAATAAATATCTGTCTGTAGTGTCTATATATTATAAACATCTGTCTGGTTGTCTATATATCATAAATATATCCATGGCTGTATATCATAAACATCTGTCTG